AAGGACCCTAGACTATGGGAATTACGGTATATGCCTTACTATGGGTAATGCAGGATTTATATCATCAACCGTATGGAAGCTTGAGTAGTTGGTGATGCTATTCGGTACCATGCCCTCATACTTTTTTTCTCAAGCATAGTGGCAACCCCTATTCAGTTCTAACTCGTCAGGCACCATTATGGGTAGTTGTCTAGATGAGGGTCCCTTTTAAGGTCCGTTTTAGAAGTGTGCCTTGCTAGTTTGGGGGCTTCAAAAGGGATCCTAATTTAGAGTTCTACCCCTTTAGCACCGTTTTTTGCAGCAGCACTGTGCACCAGCGGCTCCAAGAGAGCCAAGCACACTAAATTACGGAATAGAGCGTAAATCACAGTGTGAAGCCCCCTCATAAGTTTATGGTGCACTTCTTAATGGAGGGGTATTGGGCCCTCTGGGATTCTTCCGGCATGTCCCAAGAGCTTTGAGCCTTGAACTTCAGAGCCTGCTCTGCTTCTTCTTTTCTGCAGGGTTCTGGGTTAAGGGTTTCTTGATTCTGGTCCTCCGCCGTCCTGTCCCTAAACCCTAAACCCTAAACCCTAAACCCTAAACCTTAATCTTAAACCCTAAACCCTAAACCGTTGTGGACTTGAGCTTCAGAAAGGCTTCAGATGGGTTGAAGGTCCAGGGCCGGTAAGTACGCAGTTCAAGTGTAAAGGAACAGAGTTTGAATCCTAAACCCCGAACCCTAAACCCTGAAAAAGAAAACTAAGCCCTAAAACTTAAACCCCAAAAAGTTTCGGCTCAGGATTCCTTCTAGAGCCGTCAACCTCCCCGCTGCAAAATGATAGCGCGAAGGCATGCCGAACTCGCTCATCTGCAGCCCTCTGAACGAAATCACGGAGGAGAGCTTGCGCCCACTTTCTGACCCAAGTCTCAAGACATTGAGAGGCACAGTTTTGGAGTAGGGGTACGAACATGGTAGTAAGGACAGTTGACAAGACTGTAAACACAAGCAAGTTTGGATACAATAAAATCTTAACTCTAAGCTTGTGTTCAGAGCTGCATCTACGTAGGTGGGACCCTTTAGCCTGAGCCCTTGCTCATCAGCCCGGGTGCTATGGGATCACGGGCTTACCGTGGATTCCCATTTTGATGGATGATGGCGAGGGTGGTAAGATGCATGATTGATTCAGGGAGTGATTGACTGACTGGCTCCATGGAAGAGTGATTGGCTGACTGACTGGCCGACGGAATGATTGATTCATTGATTCATCGGTTTGATTGCGTTGGATTTGAACTATTGTTTGCTTCATGAGTTGAATGAACGAATGGAATGGAATGAATGGATTGAAATGACAGGAAAATGAAATGAATGTTTGATTGATTTGGTTGATAATTGAATTGGCTGGTTCATTGAATGAATCATTGATTGGTGACGATGGCGATGGCGATGGGATGATAATGTTCAGCATCATCGTCGTCATGATCTCGGCCAGGGGTTGCTAGGAGTACCATTCTTCAACACAGTTGAGATTGAGAAGTTCATGCCAACGACTTAACACTCAATATTTGGCTTCAGGTTAGGCCTAGTAGTGATCACTCGCAAGACCATCAATGCCAACTGTTATCTAGATGAGCTTGTTGCCCTGCAACCCAGTTATCAAGGAGGTAAAGAACAAGCTTGTGTTGGATTGAAGGCGTCCATACAGGCGGTGCATTGAAGTCTCTAAACCCTCCGGAAAGAAGCTCAATCAAATTTTCAGCTCTGCGACAACATACTACCCCAACCGACCACTGTATGTGGCGAATGACATAATCGGCTCCTGCTGCGAGCAAGCCGATAGACCTCCTATCCATCAAGCCACTGCTGGCGATGGATTGCGGATGTCCTCGTCCGCTCACGACGATGAGGTGGAGGCGGGTTTTTTGTCTGCAGGTCCACACAGGTTCGCGGGAACTATTATCTCAGGTTTGTCCGAACGAAACGCAGAGTGATGAAACTTGCTCGGCTCCGTGTTGCATGCTAATGACAACCATAATTGTAGTAACAATAACAGTAATCATGATATTTATAACAAGTTAGTGATAACGATAATAGAACAATAACGATAATAATCATCATGATCTCAGTAGTCGTAGTAAGCAAAAAAAGTCACAAAAAAAAAAGCAGTAAGCATTGATAATAATTATTATTACAGCAGTAAAATGTTAGCAACTACTTGTTTTGCGGAGTTTAAATGGGGATTGTGTGGGCCCAACTGCAGCCCCTAAGTCCCAAGATTGAAGCGTAAAAAATGTCAGACATGAGATGAAACACATTCCTAAACCCTAAATCCCCAGAGAGCCCAATACCCCTTACTTAAGGGATATACCTTAAAGTATAAGGGGCTTCAGATTATGGTTTAAGCTTTCTTCCTTAACTAAGTAGGAGGTATTGGGCTCTCTGGGTCCTATGTTCTTTTTTCACCCCAGACGGCCAGAGCCTTTGAGCCCCAGAATCATAGGGTTTAGGGTTTAGGCTTCGAGAAGCCCCAACTACAAATCCTGGTCCTGCCTGGAATTTTGCGGAACGACTGGAGGGTGTTTATTTTGTTCTCTAGAGTTGTCTGTCTCATCTCCCGCGTATTTTTGTCACCACAACAGACGTTGGCCAGATCCTCACCGTGCTGCCGCGCGGGCCACCACGGACACGGCTGCGGAGGCCTGTACAGAAAATCCTTGGCTTGACGAGGGGCGGGGTGTTTTACGGGCAGGGGGTCCCTGCGATGATTGTAATGATGATGGTGATGATCATAATAATCATGCTGCTGATGGTGTTTGGAGTTGGCTACGATGTCCATGGTGGTGATAATAAGAATAAGAGTAATCAAGAATGCTAATGGTGCTGGTGGTATGGCGGTGGCTATGGTGGTGGGGATGGTGATGATGCTGATGAGGCTGCTGATCATGAAAATGCATGTTATTATCGCCATCAAGATGATCATCGTCATCATCATTGTTGTGTGTATGTATTATCGCTGTTGTGGTTACTATATGTAGTACGGCTGATGATGAATATCATCATCTTCTTCTTCAACATCATATGACTGATGCTGACGGCGAGGGAACTGGTGATAGATTCCCTAAACCCTAAACCCTAAACCCTAAATTCCCTAAACCTTAAACCCCAAACCGAGGATTGTCCGGCAGACCCAGAGCTGCCAGCGGCCGGCGAAGAGACGCAATGCGAGGACTTTCGTATCGTGAGAGTTTCTATCGGTTTCTCCCTTTTTCGGTGTACATAAAAGCACATGGGTAGTTCTCTAAATTAGGGTCCCTTTTTCGGTCCCCAATATAGTACGGCACCCTTATAAAAAGGACCCCAAAAGGGACCCTAATTTAGAGAACTACCCACATGTATGTATGTATAAAACATCGTACAGATATATGAGTAAATTGGTATACAACTTTACAGTTCTGTAGATATGGATCTAGAGAGAAGGATCTACAGTGCTAGCAGAAGGGCTTCGGCTGGCATTGGCATTGGCTTTTCCCTGGAGCTCGGGATGCTTTCGGGTGGAAGACTCCAACTTTAGTGAGGTCATAACGACTCGAGCAACTGCCGTGTTCACCTTAGGGTTTAAGGTTTAGGGTTTAGGGCCCAGAGTTCAGAGTTCAGAGCTTTGTCAGAGGCGGCCTTTTTTCCTGCTTGCACATGAAGCAGGTCGAAAGACCAATCAAGCCGCAGCGCCTTTAAGATGAGAGCCTTAGTCCGCAGAATGGGGCTTCAGGGTATACTGCAGTAGAGCTGTTTGGGTCTCAAGCGCAAAAATGTTCAGTTTTTGAGGGCCTTAACACCTCAGGCTCTCGACTCCTCGAAGCTTGACATCGCGGCTTGAGGCCTCAAGCCTAAACCCTAAACCCTAAACCCCTAAACCCTATTCCCTAAACCCTAAACCCCTAAACCCTAAACACTAAACCCCTAAACCCTAAACCCCTAAACCAGGCTAAACCCGTTGAGAAGCCTGGGCCAACCTTGCAGGACGACGGATGTGCTGGGAGACAGCAGTGACGAGGAGCGGGTGGAGGCTACCCTAAATCCTAAACCCTGAACCCAAGTGTGAGATTCAGTGTTTGGGAGTCGGCGTCCACAGTTGCGGCGTCACGAATTCCGGAGAGCGAGCAGAGTGATGAGGATCGGTTCATCTGAGACTTCGTTTGCCTTACATCAGCATGTGTTGCAGCAAGTGTGCACCTTCATGTGTCCACCCAGCGCTTCTGCTGTAGCTTTAGACTTGCCTTCTGAGGTCCAAAGCCTCACAACGAGTAGGCAGAGCAATTACCTGACATTTCGAAGTGATTCCTTAAGGGGATCTCTAAACCCTAAACCCCTAAACCCCTAAACCCTAAACCCTATAGAACCCTTTAAAGGAACCCTCCAAGGAACCTTATAACCCCACTTCTAACTACTGTCATATTGCTTTGAGTTTCTGGGAACCTGTACCAGGTCGGACGCGGAGCTTGCAGCTCTATTGAGAAATGAAAGCTACTTGGGTTTAGGGTTTAGGGTTTAGGGTTTAGGGTTAGTTCTCTAAATTAGGGTCCCTTTTTACTTAGGAGACCAGTAGGTAAACTTTAAGCTTTTTGGTATATTAAACCCCTTACTAAAAAAAAAAGTTTAAACTTTTTTGGGCCAGGGTACTGGGCTTCAAGGTTTAGGTCCACCAAATGTAGTACGGCACCCTTGCAACAAGGACCCTAAAAGGGACCCTAAATTGGGGAACTTCCCCTTTTAATCAAGCAGTATCTACTTTTGGTAGGTTAGGACGGACCAACAGGTGGGTTTTGGTAGGTTGAGGTACATCCAAGTTGACAAATCTACGGGGTTTTATGGTGGCACAGAAAGTTTTCGGCCAAGACTCCTAAAAGATGTTGTGCAGGAGAGGCCTACGAGCCAGACTGCCTGGAAAACCTGCTTCCCACAAAGCCCAATACCCCATAATTAAGGAATATACGTTAAATCATTATTATACCCCTTATAATCTAAGGCTTATTCTTGAATTAAGGAATATACCTTAAATCATAATATGAAGTCCCTTCTAATTTAAGGTATATTCGTATATTCCTAAAATTAAGGGATATTGGGCGCTCGGGGTTCTTGAAAAGACCCTGAAAACGAACTGACGAAGCTGAGCCAGGTCATCTCGCTGCCGACACCACGACGCCTCCAGGCAGTAGGAAAGGTTTAGGGCTTTTGGGGTTTAGGGCTGACCTTAACCCCCAAAAACATACCCTTTTCTAGGGCTTCTGGGGTTTCGGGCTTACCTTAACCCCCCAAAACCCTACCTTTTTCAGCGTTCCTTATTTCGATTTCTTCATATAAGTCCCTAAAAAGGCAGGTTATCTGGTGTCCAGGCAGGGTTTCATCCTTTGGCCAAGCGGTCCCTGCACTGAAATCCCCATGCAACTCGGAGCCTCGCCAGTATTCCTCAGTTCATACAGCTCCGAACCCCGAGCCTCCACGACCCTTGACTTAAGTACACCTCAAATTAGAAGGGGGGGGGTCTTGAACATGATATAAGATACTTTTTTGCTGAATATAAACTGTTGGTTACGAGAGAGCTCGCACG